CGAGCGGCGGGTGAAACCGCGCGAGAGTAGCTAGTACTTAATATTTGTTTCTATTTTATTTTAGAGAAATAAGCTTCAGGCACGTTAACCAACCACAATTTGTATTGCAAAGCAAAAAACAAACAATGCAAATTGAGATTACTCAATTTGATAATTACAAAATAATAACACTCATTTTAATGATGTAATCGTCAGAAATACGGAAATGATAAGATGAAAGATGAAAGCTACAATTATGTGAGCTTAGTCATGCTTCAGTCAAGGTATACATAATTGGACACAGAACGCACGTTGAGTGCTCTCGTGAAGTAATTGGATGGAGGAAATCACTTCAGAAAATTACAAATAGAGGAAGCAAATAAGAAATTCATGTTGGGAACTAGGCACAAGTTACTACTGGCACATAGTTAACTGCTGTTTTACGACACGTCTACATATATTGTTGAAAATGCTAAATTATACATCAGTAGTTAAAATATCTTATACAATATATAGATAGGTCTAGCTACTGTTCAAAAGAAGAGAGAGCGCTATTGTCTAGATTTTTCAAGATGCCTCGACGGCGTCTCGAACTGATATTAATGAGTCGGCGTTGTAGGCGCCAACGAATGTCAAAAACACCCTTCTCCATAGTGCCTCGTTTGCTACAAATTTAACTCACACTTAAAGATGCGTTGATCAACAACTTTCACAGTTCTCGCAAATGAAAGGCAAGGAACTAAAAGTGTGTACTACACAGTCTACACAACAAATACACGAGTCATCGTCAATAAAGACCGCACTTGGCAGAACAATTTTCAACATGACTACATCTAATATTACCCACACGTGTTTTATCAATGCCCTCGACAAAATGCACTATTAATAGTGCACTAAAATAATGAACTAGGTGTCCAATTATACACTTTACAAAACGGTAGTTGTTTAAGAAAGTGTGAAGTAGTTACGTAATTTAGACAGTAACAGGGTTTAGGAAGTGGGTTCTATGTCTACGCTGGTAACAACGTTTATTTACTGATTTTATAATGAGCAATCATACAGTTCATGGACATGCGTTAATTGCTAGCGTTTTTGCCACGATTACTAATCCAGTCCGCCGTAAATCCTTTACGAAAGCAAGTTGTTTTTGGCCGTCAAAAGGGGCACGAACATTTTGACCGGGTCAACCTTTATCGTTCTTCTTCAGACAACGTTTCTAATTATAAATTCGTTATACATCGTTTGTTTGTTCTCATTAGTCGTTGTGAACAGAAAAATATATTCAAATATTGACAGTTTATCATACATTTTGACGATGTTTATCTCTTCGTCTGTCGCTTTACATAGTTTGGGCGAGAAAATTGGTACAACATTACATGAATTTTCCAATATATTCGTATTCCAGAAGATTTAAATGAGACTAAACAAATCCAAACAACTTTAATTGCTCTCAGTTGACAGATAAGTTATCAGTGGCAACCTACAGTCGCGTCACGTGGAGCTATCATTAAAAAGTCCATGTCAACGCACCTTATACAATGGGCACATGTAATCGTTCGACTGATAAGGTAAACAGGACCTTAGCTGGTTCTTGCAAATCGGTCAGGGTTAGGCGCTACTAAATTGCGACCAGACGGACGAACTTAGGGATTTGTAGCACGTCTTTATCAGACATCTAGCCTTCTGTCGGTTGCCAATATTATGTTGTTTTTTGTGATTCGAATTTAGAATTCGTTCGTCGTTAGATTTATTGGCCCTTTAGAAATTAGGTAAGGTTATTTGCAGGCTTGTCCGAACTTTCATTTCTTTATACATATGTTTTTGTCAACTTTCGTAACATTTGAAAGACATGTGTACTGTAACTTATGGTATTGGGATTATTTGGGATAACAAGAGATATATCTTTCAAAACTTTAAAATACATGGGCTACTGCTTAGTTCCTTTCATACGCAAAAATGACGTGTAAGAAATGAAATATTGTGTGTGTAAGTACTTGGTGCCTGACAATAAATATTGAGAGTCACTTTTGTTCTGATAAGTAATAGTTCACAATAAGAAGTTTGTTAACCCTCAAACATTTAGGTAAAAGTATTAGTAAACAAATATATTTAAATTACTTAGTCGGGTCATAAGTTCTGTCACAAACTTTTGATGTAATAACTTATACGCCTTTTGACAATTATTTAAAAATTATATATGAAATGAAAGGTCATTAAATGTACAATATAATTTTATTTACATTATTCGAAATGCCCTCCCCCATTTTGAACACATGCCCTTAATCTACGCGGCCAGTCATCGATCGCTGCACGCACCACATTCATATCTATGTCTGCCGCTGCTTTAACCAGAGATGCTCGGAGAGACTCCAAATTCGGGTGAGGTTTAGCACAGACTTTTTCCTCCAAATATTGCCATATCTTGTAGTCCAGTGGGTTTAAATCTGGACTAGAAGAGGGCCAGTCTTCATGCCGGATGAAGTCAATTCCACGAGCGATCAACCAGTCTTGCGTACTTCGTGCCTTATGAGCCGGTGCAGAGTCCTGTTGGAATATCCAATGCCTGTTCCTGAACATTGTCTGAGAAAGAGGTTCCACTATGTTTGTTAGGACAGTATTTTGATAAACTTCGGCACTAGTTCTCACACCTTTTTCACAGAAAAACACCTCAGTTACGCCTGAATATGAGACTCCAAGCCAAACCATGAATGAGGAAGGGTAATGCCCACGCTGGACCCTCGCAATACGCGCGCTTGCTTCTTCACTGCTGTGGGCATACACCTTATCATTTTGTTTGTTAAAACTTTCTTCAATAGTAAAAATTTTTTCATCCGAAAAAAGAATTTCGCGGTATTTTTTTCCCGCGTACCGTCGTAGCAAAGCGCGGGATCTGTCTAGCCTAATTTTTTTTAAACGCTCGTTCAAAAAATGTCCTGTCTTTTTACGATAAGCTCGTAGTCCCAGGTCTTCATTTAGTACTCTTTTAACAGTGGTTCTGCTTAGCCCCATCTGCAGAGCTAGGATTTTTTGTTTACGTACGGGATTTCGTTCGATTCGCGCCTTCACTGCTTTGATGACCTTATGTGTCCGAACTGTGCGAGGTCGGCCGCTTCTCTTACGATCTTCGAAGCTTGACTCTTCGGTGTATCGTTTGATAGTACGATAAACAAACCGTAACGTTATTTTCAAATTTTGAAGAATATTGAAAATGTCTTTTGGCGCGTAACCACAGCGGTGCAACGCGATAACCGCGATTCTGTCTTCTTTATTCGACCACTCCATATTTAAAAATGAATAAAAAATAATTTCTTTTTTATTTTCTACAAGCGCGAAAGTTCTATTTTTAAAATAAGTCGAAGAATTTCTGGCCAGTAATCGAAAATTAAAAATATAAGGTTTTGACAGAACTTATGACCCGACTAAGTATAATCATGTTTACATAATATAGGTAGGTACCTAATTAAGACAATATAGAAACAAAACATCTTTTACTTTTTAAAAGGGTGTGATGTTAATATTCCAGTTTCACCAATTTACCCATCTACAATGCAGGAGAAAATCCTAATAAAGGGCAATATTAAAAAAAGAAAAGTAATAACTCAGTCAAATTTCCCCTGGCAAACCCTACATCATGAAATAAACAGATAGATAAGATCAAGAAACTATTCGTCCAATTATGTTCTTACAATTTAAAGGAATTTGATATTCAAATTGATCATGCAGTTAGGTGCCAGTACAATACAAACAAACAAATATTATTTATAATAAATATATTAGTGTAGATTAATGCAGAAGCCATATTTATTTAGTATGGATATAATTTTAAGTTTATTAAACAATGATGCAACTTATGGCAGGATAAAGCAATTGTTTTACAATCCCAACAAGAATTGCTTCTTACGGCCAATATAATAGAATACTGTCACCAAACAAAAAGTGTAACTGTTTTGGCCTTAAATATTTTCAAACACCAATGCAATATTGTCATTAAATAGGTAAAATAAAGACAAAACCATAATAGATATAGTTGTGACTTTCGTGACACTTTTAAGTGTCAGTTGCATTTTTAGTTACGGTAATATATTTACCCAAATGTTTTCTTATTGTAAACTAAGAACAAAAGTCATTTAAATAAGTATGTTTAGTATATAGTATACATATATACGCCTTTTTAAAAAACATAAGATTAGCAAAAGGTCTTGTTTATTGAATTTGTCATTCTCACAAACAAGATCTAAAAGGCAATCATGACACCAGTTTATTATGATAAATGTAAAAAAAAATGATAAAAAAATTATTATTAGAATTGTGGAAATAATTGGTATTTTACATTTGTTTTTAATATTGTAATATAAACAATTGAAGCAAGCTCTAATCAAGGCCTTGTAATTTATTGGTTAAAGAATAATATAATTGTTCATGGTTTCATCCGTAAAGGTAAAGGCAACAATAACTACTAAAGCACAACTTTCTTTTTTCAATAATAGGTATTTCATTTACTTATAAATGTGGTAACATAACAATGACATTCTTAACCAGTTGTTTTTAAAATTGGAATCTGACATCTCACTGTGGTGCTAAAGTTCAGGTCCTATTCTTGTTGGTTTATCAATGTTATGATGGATTCCAATTAGAAAATTATAGATTCAAAATACCAGTTTCCAATGATTATATTTATGCGGCCAGTGTCATTGATACACGTGACTCCCTTGACCTTGCTTCCACATTCACCTTGATAGGCCCTGCACCGCAATGGAAGGAAACAGTTCCACAATGTATTACTATGAATTAATTACAGCGGGAATAGCCAGCCGCCTAACACGCGCCATCACGCGTGTATAGCACGGACTCTAGGTACACCACGCAAGATAAGCAACATAAAACATCACGTTTTGTTATCAAACACCTAATCGCGTACGCATTCGAACACAAAGAACATCGCAAGATACTGCGACACGAGCCTGGATCAACGCCAATCAGCAAAAAAACAACACTGTATAGTGAAATTATTATGCACTCACCCGATATTTGTGAATTTCTTCTCACTGCTATCCTTCCCACGGATACAAAACTCAATCTAACACTACTCATTATATAAATTTCGATAACGATTCAGTAATAACATCAGCCCTCAACCGAACGACAGAAACGTTATACGAGCCAAATAGAAATTACAATAAGTCGCCGTATTAAGCGAGTCGCAATTTTTATTGTATTTGTTTGTCAGTGAGAGGTCTCTGTCATGACGCAACACTTTTAGTCAACATCAACACTATTCGCAAAATGTACAATAAGATGGTGTAAGTACGAAAACTGCACTTTACTATTTTTTTGTATGATTTTACAAAACAAATTTTATTTTTTAGATAATGGAGCGGCCATACTGATGTTCACAGCTGATTTTGATGTGAAAGAAAATGAAATTTTTGTACCACGTTGTTTCGATACTACCGCTCTCTGTTGAAAAATGGTATCAAACCTACACTGTTTTATCATATGAGCCACTTGTTGTATCTTAATTACCAGTAGATGGCGCAGCAAATAAAATCAGAACAATATAATTGCAAATATATCAAAAATTATGGTAATGGACTATAACAATTACACTGCAGTGTAGAGAATAATAAAAATATTGTTTTTTTTTTTAAATAAAATTATGACAGAAATGATTGTTTTTTTAAAGTAAGTTAATGGTATCACTGTTTTGGCATTTATGTAAGAGTTTGGTCACCCCACTAGGAAACGTCAATTTGTTATTTATCTGTGATGGAAATTGTTCAAAATGGCTGAGACAGAAACCGATAATAACAGTATTATCAGATCCGAAAGAAATAATAGGAATACAGTGCCTGCCAATGGACCCCGTCGCGTTACTATCTATAAAACTGAGACCGGATTTGGTTTTAACGTGCGCGGTCAAGTGTCTGAAGGGGGGCAGTTGAGATCGATTAACGGTGAACTTTATGCTCCTCTGCAGCATGTCAGCGCTGTCCTGGAGAATGGGGCGGCTGAGCAAGCTGGCATCAGGAAGGGAGACCGAATACTTGAAGTGTAAGTACTTTGAATAAGCAGTATTCCACCGCCCAATATTTTGTTGCACAGTCTTGGTTCCCATTGGATTTTCCCATAATTGTTTGTGTTACTTAACATAGCAACACATTTCCCGCCGGTTCTTTGTGTTTAACCATTTCTAAGAAGTAAATTCTTTATCAGAAACAATTTAATTTTCATGATTCTCCTGTGCATACTTCATTTACATAATGTTTGAGGTGATTCATTCAAAACTTGTTTGATTTTCATAACGACTGTCGCTGAGGTTTGAATTTAATCGTATCTGAGTCCAACATTAGACCATTAGTATTATTATTGTAATTTTAGTTATGCTCATAATTCATATTTATGATGATGGTATTTAGAATATTTTACAAACTTTTATACCTACCAAGGTAAATAAGTGGCTGAACCTAACAGGGTCAATGGTTTCAGTGACACATACTTATAAATAACACAAAACTAACATAATAATGAGCATTATGTCTGGCTGCCAGTATTTCAAATGTTAAAATGAGACTATCCACTGCTGTTGTCCAGTAATTAAAATAATTAATTGTGTTCTTCCTAAATAATTGTTAACAAGGACATTTATTGTACATACCTAATATTGCTCAACTGTATATATTATCCTTTTCCAGTAAAGAGGTTGGTATTGCTAAATTCTTATAAGACATAAAACGAAACTGGTATTATAATTGATTTCTTATCTGTGCACACAAATATTATTTATTCTCACTGGCCTTGTAATGTTTCATTTCAGTTTTTTTATAAGGTAGAGATAAATAAAACACAGATGTTTTGTATTTTTGCATATAGAATACTATGTGTTGTGGCTGATTTCAAAAATAAAATTGCAGAAAGTTTTAATTTTCATTCTTAGTGTTCCCTGTATAGGAACTTTAATTGCTACACTGGCAACTGTGATCTGAAATATATTTGTTCTATAGAAAATGTTCCAAAGTGGAATCAAATTAGGTGTATGGAAATTGAAATGTTTGGTTTCATTATTAAATACCTAATGTGAATTTTTCCTTAATCACAATGATTACTGTAAAACTCTACCAGTAAACTTAATTAATTACCTAATTATTGGATAATAAAAAGAGTATAATCTCTGGAAAATTCTTAATACAATATTTAAGTAAGTAAACCTGTACCATCTAGTTTTTGATTGTTTACAATAATCACTGGAGTAACTGTTCCAAATCAAATACGGCTTTTGTTAGACTAAAGTCCATTAAAAATCAGTATAAGACTAACACACAGTAGTTTCACTACATGGGAGTAGCTATTAAATAAATCAGGGCCTGTTCCACAATGTCTTAATAGCCATGGTGCCATAAAAGTATATCGGGAACCCATATGAAGGTGTCAAGGCACACATCAAATGTTGCTTAGCACAGAAGTTACCCAACTGGGTGAATGATTAAAGATTATATACCTAGTCAAGTTTAAAAGTTTTTATAGACTGGAAAATTGTCTATGCTGTGCTAGACATACCTATCTCTCATGTCTGTAAGGTTCTATTATAGAAATGAATAATTTATAAAACACCACAATCTAGTTTTACTCTATAGTCTGTGAGAACATTATTGAAAGTATAATTTATTAATATTAACATAACTACCTGCTTTGAAATCAAACCTGTTTTAATTGTGTAATGTTGTGTCTGTGTGAGATAAGATGTCTGGTGAACATTTAGTAAAAATCGAAAGGAAAAATTTAAATGCACCATATTTGTATGCAATTAGAATGCATTCTTAAATTCTGCCAAAGATTTATTAGGTGATATTTGGGTGACTTTTACAATTAACATTTTTAATTTATGTTTTTTTTGGGAATATTAATTAATGTTACGTGTTTCTACATATGCAATGAATTAATTCATTTTAGAGTTATGAATCATGTCATTGGGTATTAGATTAATGACATGTCCATTCATATAAATAAATGTATTTGATTAGATAAGTAAATAGTTGTATGTATTGTCCACAAACATATTGTTAAGTGTCTAGATATGCTGTCACACTACCCTCATTCAGCCACATTCTCCCCACTACCTACAAACCCTAACTGATAACAATGGCAGCCTCTGCCTAGCAGGCAAAGGAATGGGAGGTTTTTAGTCAGTCAGAGTCTGACACTCCAACCAATTTCTTATCAAGAGAGATGATCATTTTCTCTTCTGAAAAAAGGGTCGTAACAACATTCTCAGAATCCAGTCTATTAAGTTAATTTTCGAATTCAATGTTAATAAAGTCATACTTTGAATCGTGTTGCTTTAATCCAAAGTGTTCATGTGGGTTTGTCTGCTACCATACTATTAGAATACTTACTTAAGACTTAACACCCTGGGACGGTTAAAGATATTGCTAATTTACCAGCTGAATGTAGTAGAAATATGTTCCGCGAATAGATCGAATTGTTTGTAAGTGGATATAATTCTAAAATACTTCAGGAGAATTACAAAAGACTACGTAGTGCGTACCGAACGCGATTCCGGGTGCAATCGTAGCGCGGCCCCAATTCGGAGCAGGCAATCATGAAATGACTTCTCCCGCCCTGTGTGATGCGAGAGGGAGTGTCACACTCTAAGGGTGCTGTTCCATTGAGGTGAAGCCAATCACATGGCTTGAAATCCACATCGAATCAAGAGATATCACAGCTTTTCTCCGCTCCACCACAGTGGAACTGCACCCTTACTGACTAAAAGCACCTCGTTCTTTCCCGTGCTCCGTGCCAAGGCCGCGGTACATTGCAGAGCTGCGGGTTCAGCAACCCCATCTGACGAAACAAGGGGTAGGTGGAAATTTTCCTTCCGCGTCATATATAAGTGTTTGTTGAGTTTTGTAACAGTAGCGTACTTACTAGCAATAAGAAGTAATACTTGTAATAAGTACAGGACTTTGTATGGTTTCTTCCAATAAGCCTTGGCTCAGTTTTCAGTTACTATGTCACTAGCATTTTTGCTTGCCTTAGAAAGTAAGATGCAGACAGAGTACTCCTTAACCACGAAACTTATTAAAAAAGTGAATTACGACCGTGTTTTTGAACAATAACATCGAAATAAATATTTCCTTTTATGTACTTAATTCTATCTTACACCGTCTGTTTCCCTATATTCATGAAAAAAACCTGAAATGAAGGTAGTAAGTAGTTATTCAATGAAATTCCTGAAGTTTAGTACCTATTCAAAATTACTTAACATTTCAAAGAAAAGTTCGAATCAAAAATTGACTACAATGCCCCTTTTACTTTAATAACATTCAGAAATTGCTTAGTTCTTATGAAGATATATGGGAGCATAGATTTCTTAAAATTGGTGATTAATGCGCCCAAAATGTTAAGTGATACGTCTAATCTAAAAATGCTACTTCACAAATAATCCATAACCGTGATGAAACATCGTATTAATTTTCAAGCAATGTGTTATAATATCATCGTATAGTAAACATACATATTGCATCAACTTCTTTCATCCAATAAATATTATTACTGATAAAGATTTTACAGCCTTTTCTTTGCTAATCGACTTTGTGTTGTTATTTAATCTTACGACTTTAAGAACACATAAAATGTGCTATAACAATTACCTATTAGACTTTCCTCAGTTCTGTTCGAATCAGAATTGACAAGTCTGGTGAAAAAAGAAAAGTTTCCCTTTTTTATGCAATGGGACGGCTAACGGGCAAATTACCTGGTGGTAAGCCGTTAGCTCCGCCTATGGACACCCGCAACAACAGAGGAGTTACGAGTACGTTGCCGAACTTTTGGAGTTTAGGGATTGGTGGTCTAATCCTTCCCGTGAAGGGAAGGATTGGGCCTCCGGTAACCTCACTCACACGGCGAAATTCAACGCTATGTCACGCCGCGGTTTTCTGTGAGGCTGTGGTATCACTCCAGCCGAGCCGACCTATTCGTGCCGAAGCATGGCTCTCCCACACTCCCTTCTTACTAGCTTGATTCTGTAGTTTTCCACGTCCATATTCTATCCTTATGCTTAGCTGTGAGACTAAGCGGACGTAATTATTGTTGTGATTATAATGAGTCATTATTAATTATAAATATTAATTACTAAAAATTTTTGCACACTAGCAAAAATAAAGTGTGTCGCGTAAAGTAAAGTGTGTTTGCGAGTAACTTACGTTGCATCTTTGTACACTCTGCAAGATGAACTAAGTACTTTCAAAAGTAATAAATAGTGTTAGTATGTCTAACCCGTCTACCTCAGGACTAAGCCCTTTTGGGCGTAGCCAATTACTACGGCGTAGTCCACCGCCGACGCCATTGCCGTCTGAGCAGCACCACCAGAAAGACCCAGAGCCGCCAGCGTCCACTGAGCCTGAAGTAGAATTGGTTTCTACGCCGGAGATCCAGAAATGGTTATCTTCCATTGACGGAATTATGTCGGAAGTTTGTGGCATTGTAGCGGAAGGAAAAATGAACAACGACCAGAAACTCCGCGTCACCAACCTATGCCGTAAGGTCTCTCATGGGACATCGCAGATGGCGGTACTATACCAGTCCCTGAAGCAGAAAACAATCCAGGCCCATTTTACCATCCAACAATTACAAGGACAACAGGAAATTGCCAACTCCCTCCAAGAACTAAAAAAAGTTGTAGAAGCTGAACGTAAGCCAGACTGCACTTCCTATGCCAATATGGTAAAAAAAGGAGAGGACAAATTCATTCGGCCAGCCAATCTCAGCTCTCTTGCTATCTACCCGAATGATAAGACGCAGACCAGTGACGCAACCAAGAGCCTAGTTCAGCAAATTATCTCCCCTGAAGAGCTGAAACTTCGAGTCCGCGGGTTGAAGAAAATTAGAAACGGAGGCGTTATTATCAGTGCGGATAGCAAAAGCGATATAGAGAAGCTGAAAGCATCCGAAAAACTAGTTTCCTCAGGCCTCAAAGTCGAAGAACCGTCTAAACGTCGACCACGTATTGCTGTCATTGGTATCCCTGTAGCCCTCACTGAATCGGAAGTCATGGA